ATATACTATAATAGAGAAATAAAGGTTGGAAATATTGTGGTAATTTCCATATTGCATAATTGATCAATTCATTATATTTTTTAATTTTATTCTAATTAGTTTTTAAATAAATGAAATCTATTATATTATTCTACATCCATTAAAATTTTTTTAAAAAAAAAAAGTGAAATCCATGCTTTGTTACAACCTTATTTTCATTGAGAAATATTAAGTCTGCATTTAAGGTTAGATTGCTTCTTTCGATTTATTAATAAAAGAAAATCGTTATAATTCATCAGTTTTAAGAAAGCCTATTTAAGAGAGGTGTAATCATTAAAAATATTACAAGAAAGCAAGCGTAACCCTACAAGTTAGTCTCAAAGCCAAATGTATTAGCGAATGTACACTTTTATGAAAATAAATAACAATCAAGGGTTGGAATTGAGAGTGGTTGCAAAAATGTTACAAGATTTACTATCAAAAATTAATTGTTCAATTAACATAGTTGATTATTATAATTATTACCTTCAAGATTTTCGAAATTCTTAGAACTCTTTATAATTTATTTGTTATTTTATTTTTAAGATGTCCATATTTTCTATTATGTCTTTGCTGACCACAACTCTTCTCAGGCACCAATTTAACCCTCTTAACCATATAAAGTACATGAATCTTATAAAGAGAATAATTTTTCTCATAACATTAATCTAATGCTAAATTTTTCTTTATTTATTTAGTTAGGATATGAATCTCAAGAAAGTAGTAGTTTGATAGTTTTTGAAATTGTTTTTGTCCCAAGAAAATTTTAGAAATTTAAAATAATACCTTGCTTTTTTTTAGAATTCGTTCCCTTCACATAGAGGAGAAACTTTTTCCATAATAATTTTCAAATTTCCTTCAATAACACATGCTAATAAGAAAAAAAACAGAAATCCAATTATCGAAAGAACTTCAGAAAATCTGTGATTAAAAAAAGAAATTATCTAAAGACTTCATTAAAGAAATTACCAAAAATGTAAGATTGATTAATGTTTTTTCTGATACGAATCCGATCGCGGAGGTTTAAACATTTTCAGTCAATCAGAATGTTATTGGAATAAAAAGCCATGATTAAGAGTAAAATTTAAATTTATAGTAATTTCCAATTAATGTTCTTAGATTATTATGAATATATCTAATTACAAATTTTCGATAAAATTGACCTAAGTAATACAAATTAAATTTGTGTTTTTATGATATTTAAATACACATTGTATTAAGATTGTAAATTAAATAAGGAATATAAATTGACTAAAGGTATGAAATTGATAACCCAGTGTTGACTAAATATTATATATATAGCAATTCAAAAATCAATTATATTACTAAATAAAAAAATAGATAAATTATTTTAATGGATCTAATTAGTATATTTTTATTATTGTAGCAATAGAAACGTAAAGGAGGATTCTTAGAAAAATCAAAATTAGATCTAAAAATGCATAACTAAATATGATTGTGTTTCCTATTAAAATTAACATATTATAATTAAACTCTGGGTTGCATTTATTTCTACATAAATTTAATATTTACTTGATTTGATAAAGTAATAAATAGTATGATGAAAAATGGATGACTAAATACGATATTATTAGGAAGGACTTGCATGTTCCTTAAATCTATAAATTGCTTCAAATATCTTAAAGATCATTCTTAAAAAAAACAAAAGTAAATAATTGAAAGAAAAAAAATAATAGTAAAAGTCTCTTTTCCCATAAAAACAGTTTAAAAAAATGATAAAGGTATTAATAGACTTAAAAAAATAGAAAACTTAAGGAATCGGATAACTTCTTGTAATTGTTTGGTCCTCACTATAAAATAAGCAAATAATTTCATGAATAAACTAATAATGCAATTTAATTCTTACTTTTACAGACTTTATATAAATTCTTAAAATATTTTGAAAATTATAAAATCTTATGACATTCTATTTATAAATCTTCTTGAAGGAAGTTGAATCAATACTCTTTAACAATTCTAGTTTCTGCAACTCATAATACATGAATATTGAAAAGATTATGTAAATACCATGAAATAATAGAAAAGGTTAATTATGAAAATCACAATTGGCATCACTATTTTACGAAATAGGAGAAAATGAGAAAGTTTCTGTTGTATTTTCTGATTCAATTAATTATGTAGTTAAAAATATAGTTCCCAAATATTAACATTAACAAGAAACTTAAATATACTGTTTAAGATTATTTTCTTAAATTAATATGTCACACAAATAGAGTTATCCATTATTAGAATACTAAACACATTGGAAATTATATGCAGGTAAATTTGTTTCATTGCAGTAAAAGTATTGAGTCATATCAACAGCATAATTAGTATTAAATTATTCATAATTAATATATGATTTTTTGTAAAGATAGTTTTAAACTTTTGTTTTTGAGTAGCATTGTTGATCAGTTTCCAATTGAGATGAATTCAACAATATTTTTAATTCATCTATATGCTTTTTCGAGATATTTAAATAATTGAAATGAATTTCCAACTGTTCTTTTTAGACAAATACTCTCAAGCTATCCATCAAATCGTTTTCCAGACCTAATTATTAATTAAAAATATGTTTGGTTATTTTAGCTATTTGATATTTTAAATTTTAGCCATTTAGAGTAAATTATTAGCCATTTACTTCGACTTATTCANTACAAATTAAATTTGTGTTTTTATGATATTTAAATACACATTGTATTAAGATTGTAAATTAAATAAGGAATATAAATTGACTAAAGGTATGAAATTGATAACCCAGTGTTGACTAAATATTATATATATAGCAATTCAAAAATCAATTATATTACTAAATAAAAAAATAGATAAATTATTTTAATGGATCTAATTAGTATATTTTTATTATTGTAGCAATAGAAACGTAAAGGAGGATTCTTAGAAAAATCAAAATTAGATCTAAAAATGCATAACTAAATATGATTGTGTTTCCTATTAAAATTAACATATTATAATTAAACTCTGGGTTGCATTTATTTCTACATAAATTTAATATTTACTTGATTTGATAAAGTAATAAATAGTATGATGAAAAATGGATGACTAAATACGATATTATTAGGAAGGACTTGCATGTTCCTTAAATCTATAAATTGCTTCAAATATCTTAAAGATCATTCTTAAAAAAAACAAAAGTAAATAATTGAAAGAAAAAAAATAATAGTAAAAGTCTCTTTTCCCATAAAAACAGTTTAAAAAAATGATAAAGGTATTAATAGACTTAAAAAAATAGAAAACTTAAGGAATCGGATAACTTCTTGTAATTGTTTGGTCCTCACTATAAAATAAGCAAATAATTTCATGAATAAACTAATAATGCAATTTAATTCTTACTTTTACAGACTTTATATAAATTCTTAAAATATTTTGAAAATTATAAAATCTTATGACATTCTATTTATAAATCTTCTTGAAGGAAGTTGAATCAATACTCTTTAACAATTCTAGTTTCTGCAACTCATAATACATGAATATTGAAAAGATTATGTAAATACCATGAAATAATAGAAAAGGTTAATTATGAAAATCACAATTGGCATCACTATTTTACGAAATAGGAGAAAATGAGAAAGTTTCTGTTGTATTTTCTGATTCAATTAATTATGTAGTTAAAAATATAGTTCCCAAATATTAACATTAACAAGAAACTTAAATATACTGTTTAAGATTATTTTCTTAAATTAATATGTCACACAAATAGAGTTATCCATTATTAGAATACTAAACACATTGGAAATTATATGCAGGTAAATTTGTTTCATTGCAGTAAAAGTATTGAGTCATATCAACAGCATAATTAGTATTAAATTATTCATAATTAATATATGATTTTTTGTAAAGATAGTTTTAAACTTTTGTTTTTGAGTAGCATTGTTGATCAGTTTCCAATTGAGATGAATTCAACAATATTTTTAATTCATCTATATGCTTTTTCGAGATATTTAAATAATTGAAATGAATTTCCAACTGTTCTTTTTAGACAAATACTCTCAAGCTATCCATCAAATCGTTTTCCAGACCTAATTATTAATTAAAAATATGTTTGGTTATTTTAGCTATTTGATATTTTAAATTTTAGCCATTTAGAGTAAATTATTAGCCATTTACTTCGACTTATTCACTTTCATGAATCGCAATATCGTTGATTAGATAGAGTAAATTTTCTGTTAGTGAAATTATTTAATCTTGATCATTATCAGATCTTAAGGAAGTCAAAGGTATTTTGGTAAATAGATCATCGATCTATTGCATAATAGAGTCTAATGAATTGGAGATGGATTACTTATATTGAAATAATAGTTCATTCATAAAAATTTCATCTTATTAGATTTTATTTTCTAAATTTGAATTTGCTAAGATCATTTTTTTTTTTGCGAAATTTTTTATCTTATTAAATTCTTTTGTAACAGTTATAATATTATATGAGGTATCATTTTAAATTTAAGGATGGTTAAATAATATTAGTTTTGTCTTATTATCATAGTAACTTTTTAGTCAATTTCAGCGAGGTTTCTTTTAGAGGAATTCAAATTATTGAAATTAATAATAGATCTTTCTATAATTTTATGGTTTAAAGGGCCAATAATTAATCAAATAAATCTTCTGAATCGATAAGGCTTATTGCCAATTTGTATAATTTTCAGAAAATTCAACACAATCAGATTATTCATAATGGTTCATCAAAACTTCTAAAAGTAAAATAATTTGCTGCTTATAATTTATATTACTAATGACAAATTCAGAACAATTTAATTTATATTCGGTAACATTTAAATACGATTCAATATTTGTAATTGATCCTTTTGAATCCAGAATCTAAATTAAAATAACTCCTTCACTATTAGGCAAATATATTTCAAAAACATTAGATTATTAAAAACAATTAAGAATCAAAGAAATATTTGAAAGTTACTTTTAAAAATTCTTGTAGTCTTCTTTATTTAAGAAGAATCTGTATTAGTAAGTAAATGTGGAGTCTTCCTAAATTTCACAATTTGCTGCAATTTTTGATGTTTATAAGGCTTAAACGGTTTTTGAACCTAACTTAACCTAGCAAATAGGAGGCTAGTTTAAATTTAATGATAAATCATATTGACTTGGTAGTATATCATTTGTAAATTAAGCTAGAAATTTTAGATTAAATTAGTTTCCTTTATTAAACTATTAATAATGATCAAACAACCGAAAACATTAGGAATACTATTAAGGTTCAAGTATCTTCAAAACTTCAAAGTTATAAATTATAACAATTTGGTATTGTAATAAATACTATCTATCTTAAAAAGGAATATTAAAATCAAATTGTAATTTTTCATAACTATTAATTGATCTAATTGCATAACCTTTACTATATGAAACATAATGAGTTTTAAAATCATTCTCTAAAAACACTACGTTATATTTAAATGAATATTAACGGCCTTTTTTTGATGCAATAACATTCCAACCCCATATCATTTTCAAAGCTATTTAATTAAATGGTATATCATCCTCCACTAAAACATGAGTACAATTTTAGCAAATTGAATTTTACTAGTAAATTTTTGAATTATCTAAATTTTTACAAGAAGCCATATATTTATGTTAAAATTATTCAGGGCTGACAGGCAGTAAGGTTTCTTATTGTATTTCAAAATCATTTAACCTAGGAGTTGCCTTATAGGTTTCTGAATTTTGATCTTAGTTTACTTCATCATCTTAAATCTTAAAAAATGAATTATCAATTTGTTTAACACCCTATTCATCTATTTTTATTTTATTAAATGTATATAATTTCTCAGATAAATTAAACTTCCCTGTTTATTGAGTAAATAAATTGAAAGATTATTGATAAGCATTCTAGCTAAGTTGCATATTATCAACTCGAAATGAAACAAATGTTCCTTCATTTTTTATAGATCTTATAATAAGTTATTTATCCTAAGATTCAGTTAACCCTTAAACAAGTTTAGCTACAATACTCAGTCCTAATCCCTTCTTCTTAATTTCTGAATTTGATTTCAAAATTGCACCGAATTCTATTGTGTCATATAAACTACTTTATATCAGATGCAATTATTCTTCAGCAATGCCTATTCCATTATCCTTTACTTCAATATTAATACCAAAGTACTCCTTTTCAATGAAACTTAAATGAATGCAACCTCCTTCTTTTGTAAATTTAATAGCATTGTTTAATAAATTTACTAATACTTATAATATTCTTTACTTATAGTGCTTGCATAAAGATAATCAATAATGAGGTAATAAATATGATGGTTGAATTCTTATTTATAATGTATAAATATTGTAAATTATAACTACTTATTTTATACTAACCCAAGTGCTAGATGAAACCTCAATCCTCAAAAAGCAATTTGATTTTCATGATAAAAATGATAGATAGTTTTTATTAACTCATTGTTAAGTATAATATATCTTTTATTTAATTATTTATAGATTTTGTTATTAAGAGACATAATTTACAAAAATAACAATCATTTTGATTGTTTTCACTTTATCAATCCACTTTTCCTATTTTTATTTCTTTTTTCGCTCTTCTTTT